TATCCCCCTATAATTTTTGCACTCTTCTTTTATCCCCTTTGCCTTTATACAAAGGAAACTATGCATGCTCTCTGCCAATCCTAGGTACTTACCTCTTCCTACATTTTTAAATAATTGCACAACACTCCAAAACTATATCCCACCTGCTATTACATTTCTATCTTTATCCCATCAATCCGGCTGCCTTACCCCTTTTCATTTTACTTACTGCCTCTCAACTTCCCCCACACTCACAACTGGCTCTTCCTCACTACTACAAAGATGTTATTCCTCCTTGACCTATACACGATATCACAGGCTTCCCCTATCTTCATCAACATTTAACAATCCTCAAAATATTCCTTCCATCTTCCAATACTCTACCTCTCATTTGATACTCTATCTCCTAATTTTTTAAACTGACACAAATCATTTGTTCTCTAGGCTTTCTTAACTTGTTAATCTACTCCAAAACTTTTTATTATTTTCAACAAATTTGTTGTGATAATCTCACCCACTCTCCTCATTTGCTCTCTTTTTACAGTGCTTCACCCTCTCTTAACTTCTCTCTTTTTCTCCATTATAACTCGTCCCTCCTTGCATCACTTCTACTTTGTAAAAAACTTCTCATATGCTAACTTTTTTCTTCCCTTATTCCTCTCTTTACATCATCTTCCACAATCGTCCCTCCCTCTTCCCTCCTGCACCCACTTTCCTGTAAACCACAAACTTTGCTGAACACTCTAACACTTTTCATTTTTAAACCTTACCCCATACTCTTCGACCCATTTCGCTATGCTCTCATTAGCCAATCTATCCTCAATAGCTGTTTATTCTTACCCTAAATGCCTCCTCTTTTTGTTATAAACCTTCACCTCTCTCTTCCCTGATGCTTCTTATTCTCCTTGTATCCCATCTACCTTTACTCTCAGTGTAGCTACAACTAGAAAAGTGATCTGATATATCTGTGGCCCTCTATAAACATGTACGTCCTGAAGTCTACTCAACAGTCTTTTATCTACCAATACATAATCCAACAAACTACTGTCATTTCGCCCTACATCATATCGTGTATACTTATTTATCCTCTTTTTCTTACAAATATGTATTACCTATAAAATAAACCCCCTTTCTATTACAAAAGTTCAATCAAAGGGCTCCCATTATCATTTACACCTGGCACCCAAACTTACCTCCACACCTCTCTAAAGGTTCTCCTACTTTAGCATTAAGTACCTACACAATTACTCTCTCACTTGGTTTCAAAGGCTCCTATACATTCACTTAACATCTCCCAAAATCTCTCTCTTCCTCTGCTTTCCCTCTCTTCCCCGGTGCATACACGTTTTAAAACCCCCACTTCTCGCATAAAACCTTTATTTAACCCGCCACAAAGCATACCCCCTTCAGCCACCCCCCCCGGAAATCGAAAGGTGGCTTCCAGAGATACCCGTCCCCCAAAAAGCCCCAAAGAACCCCGGGATACCGGAGAGGGATCGGGACATCCTAGGCAATCCGATTCCCGGCAAAACTACGCCACCGCCAAAAAACCCTCACGGAATGGGATCGACCCCGGTGTCCTTTCCCCTCTAAAAAACTGGCCCCTGTGGGAGAATCCGAAGGCAAAAAAGAGGAAGGGCAAAAGGGGGGGGTGAGGGGAGGAGGGGGAAATGGAAAAAGGGGAGGATGGGTGGGGGAGGGGAGAATGGGGGGAAATTGGGTTTCGGTCTGAGGAAAAAAGACCGACAGGGCAATTCCTCAGCCAAGAGCTCTTCACCACCCCAAGGAGCCCCCCTTGAAGGGATTGGGGGGGAGGAGTATGTGGAGGTGAATGTATTAGTATTTAGGAGTGGCCTTTGTCAGTAGAGGGGGTCTATAAAGATGGGTGAATCACAGAATTTGATGGGGGGAAAAAGGTGAGTGGTGCACTGAGGTGTCTGTGGGACAAAGAATTTTTCTATGGAAGCAAAGAGGGGAATGTATGAGAGTTAGTTTTTCCAAACTCTTTTGGGTGCAAAGATGGGTGGTGAATGTTGCAACGGAGGAGGTGGGGGCGTGGAGATTCGTATTGAGGGAATGTGTGGTGTGAATATAATGCAGAGGGTTCATGTTTGGAAAATTTGGAGGGGGTGCAGGATTCCTAAACTTTATCCCGGGGGTTTTTGGGGGGGGGTTAGGGGTTTTGGGCATGGGGGATAGACCAAAATAGATGACTTCGAGAGTGTTTTTAAAAATTTTTGGAGGGAAAGGGGGGTAGAGGTTGGCTTAGGGAAAAGGGTTTGGGGGAGAGATTTAAGGGGAAATTTTTTGTGCGAGGGGCTTGGACTTCCAGCAAGCATGGGTGAGCATGTTAAATAGGAGCGAATGGAGACAAATAGTTTTTAGAACTTGTCATGCTGTGGGAATGTGAGCAGGGTAATATTTATGAAGGGATCAAAGGAAACCGGCAGGCTGGACTCGAGTCCTAGAGATTGGAAGTACAGTACCTGCACTCTGAAGGAGGGGTGTTAATGTTGCAGTTTTATAACTGTAGTGTAAGCGCACCTCTGGCAAGACAGTGATGAAGTGAATGATGGTGAAAATTTTTCTTTTATGGGCCACCCTGCCTTGGTGGGAAACAGGTGATGTGCTAACAGTTAAATCTAAACAACATAGCATCACTGGCCTCATAAGCCAAGTTGTAACAGCTAAATGGGCCTGTGGGCTACCAGCAGCAACAGCCTGCATGACTAGGCAGTCAAGGCTCTCTGGTCTTAGGTTGGGCTGTGAGGGGTAAAAGGAACCTTGAAACCAGTTTCAGGTATGTTCCAGGTAGTTGGAGACGACTATATGATACTGAGATACAATATTACTAATTCAAATTATAGTAAACATTCTTAGAGTTGTATCATATTTTCTATCATGAGCTCTTCTTAGTGCTACAGCTATCCCTTGTCCTATGACATTCAACAACTTCAATTAATGTAATGTATGGATACATTTGGGGACATACATAACATAAAACCCTCAACCAACTAACAATATCTTGGAGATTTACCACCATGTGGCAATTCTATGAAATGCATATAGGAGCTTGCAAGCTGCAGAAAACAGTAGCCTGGCTGATGTCATTACTGAGGAAGTCTAGCCAGAGGCCTGGCTGAGAAATTAGAAAAACTATTTGAAACCTGTCACAGGTATATAATTGTAGATTAATATGTGAAAGCAAGTGCATTTAAATCCAATGATTGACACATCAGACTGAAAACTAAGTACTGTACAGATACAGTATTTTCTTATAAATGTACCTGATTGCTTGCCCAGATTTACTAGGGCTTGTCTTCTGGTATTAAAAACATTACTGCATGCCTAAAACCAGATTTTTGTGGCTCACATCTTTATTACACGAGGGATGATTCTACTTATTTTCATTATGAATTTCAAGCAGGAAAGTGATAAATATAACAGTTATTATATATGTACAGGAACTGTCATACTGTATTATTATTATTTATTTTTTATTATCACACTGGCCGATTCCCACCAAGGCAGGGTGGCCCGAAAAAGAAAAACTTTCACCATCATTCACTCCATCACTGTCTTGCCAGAAGGGTACTTTACACTACAGTTTTTAAACTGCAACATTAACACCCCTCCTTCAGAGTGCAGGCACTGTACTTCCAATCTCCAGGACTCAAGTCCGGCCTGCCGGTTTCCCTGAACCCCTTCACAAATGTTACCTTGCTCACACTCCAACAGCACGTCAAGTATTAAAAACCATTCGTCTCCATTCACTCCTATCAAACACGCTCACGCACGCCTGCTGGAAGTCCAAGCCCCTCGCACACAAAACCTCCTTTACTCCCTCCCTCCAACCTTTCCTAGGCCGACCCCTACCCCGCCTTCCTTCCACTACAGACTGATACACTCTTGAAGTCATTCTGTTTCGCTCCATTCTCTCTATATGTCCGAACCACCTCAACAACCCTTCCTCAGCCCTCTGGACAACAGTTTTGGTAATCCCGCACCTCCTCCTAACTTCCAAACTACGAATTCTCTGCATTATATTCACACCACACATTGCCCTCAGACATGACATCTCCACTGCCTCCAGCCTTCTCCTCGCTGCAACATTCATCACCCATGCTTCACACCCATATAAGAGTGTTGGTAAAACTATACTCTCATACATTCCCCTCTTTGCCTCCAAGGACAAAGTTCTTTGTCTCCACAGACTCGTAAGTGCACCACTCGCCCTTTTCCCCTCATCAATTCTATGATTCACCTCATCCTTCATAGACCCATCCGCTGACACGTCCACTCCCAAATATCTGAATACATTCACTTCCTCCATACTCTCTCCCTCCAATCTGATATCCAATCTTTCATCACCTAATATTTTTGTTATCTTCATAACTTTACTCTTTCCTGTATTCACTTTTAATTTTCTTCTTTTACACACCCTACCAAATTCATCCACCAATTTCTGCAACTTCTCTTCAGAATCTCCCAAGAGCACAGTGTCATCAGCAAAGAGCAACTGTATTAACAATTTCATATTCAGTCCTATTCTTGCAATTTTTTACCAAGTTTTATATTTATTGTATTAAATTTTTTATAATAGGCTCCATATAATTACATATGAGGTGTAAATAAATTATTCTGACTGCATTAATATAAAGCTGACTTGTCAAAGGATACTGTACACACAACCAAAGTGCTTATAATTTTTTAAGTTCAGTTTATATACAGATTATTTTAGAAGGTACCAATTATTATTATGTCTTGGGCAAGAGTTAATCCCAAAGGGGTCATAGTGCATGGTCAATGAACCATACTTATGTTGAGTAAACATGTTACTTCTGTATATCTTACGCCCGTACAGCTGTATAGTCCTTGTGGCTTAGCGCTTCTTTTTGATTATAATAATAATAATTACGCCCGTACTTTGTTTTGAAAAATATTGTCACACTAATTATAAAACATGTTCTTTCCTTGATGAAATATTAATGGTAAAGAGAATGTGTATATAAAAACAAAGGTGGAATCAATGGTATATTTGTGAATTTAATTCAACTTGTATTGCACAGAATGCCCTAAGTTATAGCTAAGATATTAGCGATGGTGGAAACTGTGTTCACCACCACCAGCTCATGTCATCTTAGACATAGTTTTCACATCTTACCCTAAAGGCTACTAATTGACGTATTTCATGGTCATGTGTGAAAGGCCATTTATACTCATCAAGTGAACCTTACTTAATTCTAAAAGACCGTGCATTTCACGTTAGAAATAAAATGCCAGTTTGTAAACCGAATAATGCATACTTTTTTGTTCGTGGTCTGCCTCACACCAGGCTTTGCAGATACACACACACAGAAACAAGCTCGTTCACTCTGTCTTACACACACAGACATATACATACTTTAACAACAATAATGTAACAGGTCAGCAGGGGTGGCAAGTACTGTGAAACAGTCTATGGAGAAACCGTGGTGGCTGCTAGCTCTCCCTCCACGTCCTCTTCATCTGTATTGCCCACCTTATTGCCATCATCAGTAACAGAGGCTGGAGTAATGTTGGTCCTGACAGCAGGGACCTGCAGCTTCTCAGCAACCTGGGAGAGGATGTCCTGCGTGTACTGAGCCAGGCCTTGCTGTTCCCTCACTGCAGAATAGATCAACTGGATGGTGTCTTGTAATGCCCTGATCTCATTCCGCAGCTCTTGCATGCCATCGCACAACTTGCCACTTTGCCTTGTTGAGTAACCCCCAGCTGCTGTTCCAAAAACAGAGCAAACACTAAGTGTAAAAGTTCCTAAGACTGCATGTAATGTTTGTATAATTTAGCTAAATCAAAGCATATATTTTGGGCTATTATATAATTACTGTATTACATTCATGGAGGAGCACTAAACTTGTAGGGGTCAAATAGCAATGAGGAATGGGGGAGGGGGGAATGGAAGGCATTCAGACTTAATCTAACGAAAGGGACTCTAGGTCTAATTCTTGGATCAGGAGTCCCAAACCAGCATCAAGGAACCAGTTCTCCTTAGAGCGATATTTCAGTATTAAAGATCCGAAGATAAAACACAAAAACTGTGATAGCTTGGTATACGGGGTCTGTGGAAAACTTTTTTATTAATGTAAAATATCTAAAAAAAAAAAATTAGCATGGTTTGAAATGTTTCATAATTTTCACACAAAAATATACATGAACAGAAGGTTAAGGCAACAGTTTGGAATTTCCTGGACCATTGCCAAGTCATGATTAAACAAGAAAGAGCAAAGAATACCAGAAGTTTAAAAGAGGAAGAAAAAGGGAGCGGTAGAAGAAGCAGCAGCTGTAGTTGTAGTAGTAATATTAGAATTAGTGGGCCAGTAGGCCTGTTGCAGTAGGCCTACTGACCCACAGCAGTGCTGTATGGCTCTTTTAAGTTTAGCACTTAGCATGATTATAGTAATAATAATACTGGTTCATGCTAAGCAGGTCTAGTGGCTGAGTACTGAGGGTAAATTATGTCTCAAGGAGATGGAGATCACAGTAGTTCAACACTAACATCTGTCCCCAAGGATCAGAGGAGTACTGAAGCAGCCCTACTGGCCCAGGCTAGGAAAGAGAAGAATCAAGAAAAGTTAGAAGACAGGAAAGACAAAGAAGATGCAGTAGCCAGGTCACAAGAAAAGGCGAGTTAAGAGCAAATGTCAGGTAAGGTCATGAGTGTTCTGAAGATTAGAGCATTGGACAGTGTATTGAGAAAGTCCTGGCTTTGTTTCAATAGCTGCCTGCCCAGCATTCTTGTTAGGAATGTTGTGTATATGGGCTGATTTGACAAGACAGTATCTGTGAAACCTAGAAGGGTTGATAGTTTTAGCACAAGACAAGGTTACTGAATGGCAATGATCTTTTAACATGACAGAAAAGAAAATTGCTAGTGTTAGCAAAGTGAACACTTATTTTTTGTTCTTTAAGTTTATCAGAAAAATAGTGACTAATATCACTAAGATATTGAAGGGGGCAAAGAGAAGCAGGAAATGGAGTAGATCCAGGAAAAGAGAGATGAACTAGATTACTATGAGGTAATACACTTTGTAGTAACCTTGTTTATACTTGTACTTCTGTCACTGATGCTTCTGGAGTCCACTATTTCCTGCTCCTCCTGAGCTCTTCAGTATTTTGATGAAACTGGCTACTCTCTCTCCATGACAGAAAAGAGCAATGCTAACACAATGCTTTTTTCTGTCATGTTAGAGATCACAGCTATCCACTGAGCTGGTCCTCCACTACAAATATCTACACTTCTAGTCTTCACCAATACCATCTTGTATGAATCAGTGATCATACAAACTTTACTACCATGAATCTCAGTCCTAGTTTGGTTTCTGTAGATACCTGTCTTTTACAAAACACTGTAAAATGTTCTAATCTTCAGAATACTCACGACCTGACTTGACCTTTGTTTTCTCCTCATCTTCTCTTGTGACCCTTCCTCTCTATTTCCATTACCTTTCCTGACTTTTTCTTTGCTTCTTCTTTCCTAGCATGGAACAGTAGGCCTACTATAGTGTTGTTTCTTCTCATGGAGACAAGAATTAGTAGATAATTAGTAAGAGACAATCCTTCTAATACAATTATTTCACCAAAGGCTAGGCTTTATAAAATAAAGCCCAGCTTTATAAAGTAAAGCCCAACTTTTGGGTAAACACTGCCCTAAAAGGATTCTCTGCTATGAGTATCTTTATTTCCACAGTTGTTAGCATTAAGTTACTTTTATCTCCCCTTCCTTAAGATGTAATTAACCCTCCTTAGTCTATCACTAGTCCTGCCTAGCATGGGCCAATAGGCCTGCTGCAATGCTTCTCTATTCTTTTATTCTTATGTACTATACTACCACCATTATTACTAATTCTATTACTACTACCATTATTGCTGCTGTTCCTTCTGCAACTAGTGCTACATTAATATGTGTTGTACAATAAATCATGATTGCTGAGAAAGAGACAATGGTGGAAGAAGCAAAGACTCACGCAAGACGACTAGTGTTGCTTGACTATAGGCATAGGCAGTGTCTGAGGTGGCATTACAAGCATAGTTCCCCACATCGGTACTGATGATGTCATCGATGGTCAGCGTGTTACCCTTGATGATGCGACGCATGTTTCCTCCTGCAAGCAACACTTCTAGCATAAAACACTTACGTCATTTTCTTCTGGCACATCATTTATGATGTACATAAGCAATGCCAATGATGCATAAAATGTTTATTTTACTGATGTACATATTGTATGTATTTAATTTTTTCATTAATGTAATGTTAATTGGTATATACAGTGGCCACAAAAAAATCTATACATTAACAATTTTTGGACAATAAAACGAAAAAAATGCAACTTAATGTATGTACTACATGTATTTTATTTTCACTTTTTAGGTTTCAACTAGTACTTGGTCATGTTACCATTGTTTTTTATCACCATCTGAAGTTACCTGGGCATTGAAGTGGCGACGGTGGAGAAGAGGGAGGCATCCATGTTGATCCAAAGCTTCTTCGGTGCCTCCTCAGGTCTGTGATGTTGGTGGGTCAAGCTTTTGCAATCTCATTTTTCATCACGTGCCAGGCATTCTCAATAGGATTTAGGTCAGGGGAATTTGCCTGGCCACTCCAAAACACTGACATTATTGTCCTCGAGGAACTTTTTTACTCCTTTTGACTTATGGGCAGGGGCACCATCATGAATAAAATAAATCACACTCTTGAATGTTCTGAAATGTCAGCATGTGGTCCCTTAACACCTTGATATAATTACTTCCCTTCATCATAATGTTCTTAGGAAGAAAGTATAGTCCACCTCTGCCTGGCCTGAGCACCTCAGCTGAGCTAGTGTGACGTTGTTTACAAGCCAGGGCGGACAGTTGCATGCATACATTCAATAAATTTTGTATTCCAGTGTTTTTAGTTCTTGTAACTGCTAAATAAGCCACCGTGGGCTTATCAAGAATACCGAGAAACAATTAACCCCAGAGGGTTAGCCACCCAGGATAACCCAAGAAAGTGTGTCATCAAGGACCGTCTAACTTATTTCCATTGGGGTCCTTAATCTTGTCCCCCAGGATGCGACCCACACCAGTCGACTAACACCTAGGTGAACAGGAAAAAGTGCCTGGAACTAGTGCTCATATTGGTGAATTTAAGGCCAGCAAAGGTTGGTTTGAGAGATTTAAGAATCGTAGTGGCATACACAGTGTGATAAGGCCTGTTCTGGAAGAAAATGCCAAACAGGACCTACATTACTCAGGAGGAAAAGGCACTCCCAGGACACAAACAGTGTCCCATCACTCATCACTACATCTTCAATAAAGGTAAGTGTCATTTATTCTTCATTTAGTACACTAGTACATGCACAATATATATTGTGCATGTATCCTTCTTTTTTGTGTGTAGGACAATGTATATTTCATGTGCTAAAAATTTTTTTTTTCATACTTTTGGGTGTCTTGAACGGATTAATTTGATTTCCATTATTTCTTATGGGGAAAAATAATTCAACTTACGATAATTTCGTCTTATGAAGTGCTCTCTGGAACGGATTAATATCTTAAGTCGGGGGTCCACTGTACTTCTTACAGAACTGAAGCCGCTTCTTCTTTATGGGTTCGGTTAGCATGGGCTTCTTGGCGGCACGTCGAGCAGGCATTTTCAGGTCCTTTTGCAGTTGGTGCTGAATGGTTCACACTGTGACGTCTTTCAGGAGTGCAGGATGATTTTTCTTGAGGTCTGCGGCTGTTATGGCAGGATCTGAAAACACTTCCCTCTTCAGGATCTTGTCTGTATGAAGAGAAGTCTTTTGGGGGGCTCCAGACCCCACCTTCCTAGGTGGTACGGTGCCAGGTGGGAGTGAGTCATCTGCTTTCTTGAGGTTGTAAATTGCTATCCTAGTCACCTTCAGGTCTGTGGCTACGCATATAACAGACATGCTTTGCTCTGATAGGGTTAGTGCACAAGTCTTATCTACAATTGAAAGCTTAGTTCAACCCATTCTGACCACTTGGAGCATGGCAAAGTTCGTGGTCAAGTGAAAAAATGGGCAAGGAGTAACAACATAGCAATCATCCTTCCTCATTAAGCTCTGGAGGAGCACTGAAGCGTGGGGTGGTGGGGAACATTGGAGCAAGACTGGCTCCAGTACACTAAGCCATCACAAGCTCCGCCCACTTTTCTTATGGCGGAAATTCAAGTGGAAATGTATACTACAACAAAATCGAGTGTATAGATTTATTTTGCATTACAAATGCATAATTTTTTTGCAGCCACTGTATACTGATAAAATAAATGGTATATCACTGAAATGAACAAAGTCCTTGTTAACATAATAAATGACGCATATGGAAAAACTTTTAAATTACTGAAATAAAAAGTGTGCCATTCTATTTCACAAATGTTGTTTCATTCTAGTGATATTATGAGTTTGTAAAGCTGAACTTTCATACCGTCTCAAGTGCAGAGTATTATTTGAATATTATCAATACATTTATAACCTTCAAGTATTATGATATTTAATAGGAAGTGCTAAACCTCTAGGGATTATACAGTTCTTGGGAAATTACGAAGCAATCAGGTGGTCTGATCCAAGTAAGGACAAGACAGGTTCAGTTCCTTGGATCAAGAGCCCCTTACTGCCATGAAAGATTCTCCTCTGAGTATAACCTGAAAATATGTGCATAATATTATTCAATAACCAGCAGTTGTGTAAGACACTGGTAATTACCTACCATGATCACTGATGATGATAATTTAACAAGTCTGTTTCACAACACTGGCTTTCCCATGTCACCGACTCAATGAATATCATAAGAATTGTCCCATGTCCCTTTCCCTGCCTTTCCTTTCTTCCTTCTCTCCCTCTGTATGTAGATGATTTTGATATTTCCAGTACAGGCAAGATTAACAACTGGTAGAACCTCTCTCCAATATGCTGTTTACTATGATTTTTAACCAGTCCATCTTATATGGTTTTAAGTTTTCTTTTGCTATAACAAACTGGATAACTTTCATCTGGTACCCTGTTAACCCTCGTCCTGTTCTATATCTGTGTACCATAATCCTGAACAAGATAGGGTCAAATTTATTCATCCCTTTGATCACCTAAAGCTGTCTGTCACAGCCAGGTGAACCTTCTGTACTTGATAAGAGAAACATTTCTTCACTTGCATTCAGCCCTAATCTCATCTAAGGTAGACTACATAGGTCAACTAACTTTCTCAGCCTCCATACTACTATTTCTCAACTTGACCCCACTCGTCATCAATGTCTACATCTCTGTCTAAGGGCTTTTGGATATTCCCTAACAAGAGCCTGTACACAGAAGCAACAGTCTCTTCTTTGCAAGACTGACACTATGCTCACTGTCTTCACTATTTTTTGTTTTTCCATGACCTTCATGCTCCTTCCACATAGAGATGTTAGTAAGACTAATTCATTTAATCATTCTCATTTATTACATACTTTTAATCTCCATATTCAAACTCTAGTAACATCTTTTAATTTACCTTTCCTTTACGTTTATCCTACTAGGATTCAAGTTGCTCCTTTTCCCTCAGCCCGAAGGCTCTCCTGGCTACTACAAATTTACGCTCACTCTTTCTTTAACACTTTCACTCACATCTCATGCTATAGCCATGTACGGTGAAGGTTCTAAATCCCCAGATGGAGTAGAGAATGGGACTTTTTTATTTAAACAGAATAATCCAGGGAGTGAGTTGGCCAGCATTTTTCAGAGAGTTTATGCAATACTTATCACTTGTATACATTGTAGCCATGTTCACCTTGTCATTTATTGTTGATTCTACCTCCCAGTGCATTGCACACTATCCAGAAATTTGATTTGCAATAATATTGTAATGAAATGGAACTGCCTCAGTTTAAGTGATGCCGGAGTCCAGACTTGCGACTTTCCTACACACTGATAAGAGCGTTACCTCACCTGTGAGAGAGATAACACGACCATTATACATCCAGGTGTAGGTAATGTTCTTGGTAGATGCGACATCACAAACAAAAGTGATTGTAGAGCCTTCCTCGACTGTGAAGGACTCCATAGCACTCATGAATGTGGGTTCCTGCTCCACTACCACCACTACTGACTTTGTCTTCACCTCCCCAACACCGTTGCTTACTATACACTGGTACTCCCCAGCATCTTCCACCTGTAAAGAGGTTATGCAAGGCAACTAAGATGATGGAGATTTATAGTATAGTGGTGAGTGAACAGCAGGACTTATAATGCACAGCAAAGATAATGTAACCACAACACTGGTAATGTTTTGATTATAATAATACCTTGGTGTCAAGGAAGACTAGTGTGCTTCCCGAATTTCTGGTAGTGAAGCTGGTCTCGTTCAACTCCGTACCGTTCCCCATCCTCCATGACACAGTGGGTGTTGGTCTGTCCATGGAAGGCCATTAACTCATTCATTATTCAAATCATACAGATACTTCAATATACTCAATGGAGGCACCATTATGGTACTGATACACAATGGAGGTACCATTAAGGTACTCTAGTATACATGATGTTAACACCATTATAGTACTTGGGTGCACACAATGGAGACTCCATTATGGTACTCTGGTACACACAATGGAGGCACCATTATGGTACTGTGGGACACATGCTGGAGGCACCATTAAGGTACACTACAACAACTACATTTAGATTTCCTCTTGATAAAAATATTCTCAAAGGATATTATGGTGTTGCTTGGCAGTAAGAATATTTCATAAAGAGTACATACGTATATCATTTTAGTGGGATGGAGATACTCTTCCCATACACCTTCCATCACATGTACAGGCAGGCTCCATTTTACAGTGTTTTGCTTAACAGCATTTTACTAATACAGTGGGTTTCAATTATACCCATTCTTCATTTATTCAGACTTCTTACAATAAATATATTCTCCACTCACTATAAGCCAAGTATGAAAATATTTTAAGGTAAGTAATGCATTTACTATATATGCATATTTTAGGCTTAGTTCTATTGCTCACTTAATATATGATAGTGTAAACATGTTTTCACGTTTTTATATGCATTTGAAAGTGAAAAAAACGGCTATGTTTCACTTTACAGCAGTAGCCTGGAACCTAACCTGTTGTATAAGTGGGGCCCTACAGTAGTCTGGAACCTAACCTGTTGTATAAGTGGGGCCCTACAGTAGTCTGGAACCTAACCTGTTGTATAAGTGGGGCCCTACAGTAGTCTGGAACCTAACCTGCTATATAAGTGGGGCCCTACAGTAGTCTGAAACCTAACTTGCTGTATAAGTGGGGCCCTACAGTAGTCTGGAACCTAACTTGCTGTATAAGTGGGGCCCTCCTGTATTGAAGTATCTCTACTAGTTGGGTGATCATGAAAAAGTCAGGATTAATCATCCTTATACAATCTACTGGCTTTAAATCTAATCAGTCTTCAAAAAATAAATACTTTGAGGTTGTTTGCAAGTACATAATAAGGAAGGATGGAGTTGGCAGGTATATGGAAGGTAGGAGATGTGGAGCTTAACTGATTCACTGTATGACACTCAAATATTTCTAGGCAAAGAATAAGGTAAAAACACTGATGTGTCAAGGACTAACAACACCTAGAAAAAAGATGCACAGTCTGGCAGTACTCACTCTCCACCGAAGATGCACCAGAGTGTGTTCTCCTGCAGAGCAATGAACTTCACAGTGTCATTCGAGGTGTACATGGGGAAGCTCTCCACATTAAGTTGCTCCTCGTTCAGGTTGAGGTTGCCATCAGCAGGATCCACAACCGAGAGCTCTATTATGGAGGCCATCGAAAAGTCATTTGGCTCAAATGTGGTGGAAGCGAGGCAGATGAACTGGAAGTTGTTCTTGCGAGTATCATCGGCTTCTGTGATGTGAGTGAACCACAGGTTACCCTCGGGATCTGATATGATTCGCTCATCATTTACAAACTCAATCTCAATCTGGGTTTCAAGCTGATTAGCTTTAACCCAGCTTAAGGTAGGTTTTGGGTAACCAAACACCTTGGGGCAGGAAAGCTTGAAAGGGCGACCCAACTCTGCCTTGACATTGTACGTATCACTTTCATCTTTGTCATTGGAGAACTCAATCCTGCTTGTGTTCAAGAGGTAGACAGGGTCAGCAACAGCTGTGCCCAGGTTATTATAGGCAAAGCACTGATAGAGGCCATTGTCATCCATGGTGGGGTCACTGATGAGGAGATTGCCTGTGCCCTCCTCCAGGCTGAAACGAGGGTCAACCTCCCAGATAAGTGTCTTGTTGTTCTTCGTCCAGCGGTACTTGGGGCTTGGGGCACCTTCAGCCATGCACTCAATAACCACAGGCAGAGCGTCACGTCCGAGGTTTCTTTGTAGATCATACAGTACTTCTTTGCGGGACTGGGCAGATATCAGTGGTGGAGACTTGGCTGTGATGGAAGCAAAAATGCATTTTAGGGAAACTTATAATTCAGATAATAATGTAATGTAATAATATAATAATCATGAGTGAACTTTTGGATGGGTATGTTAGAGGAACAACTGTTAGATCATTATAGTATTTACTGGTAACTACAATAACAAAAAACATGGAAGACAAGAATGGTGTAGGTGGATCAGAAAGAGAAATGAAATAAACAAATGAAAAAGAAGTTTGATGGGGGAGAGGAGAGTAATGGAGCCATAAAATAGGTTAAAAGAAGAGGTAAGTGGAATGTTATGGCATCTGTGAAGAGAAAATTTATCTATAAGAACAATGAGAGGAATGTAGCAGAGAACAGCGGTATCAATACATTTTTATGGGTACAAGGCATAGGCTTTATATGTTGCAGTGAGGAGGAGGCTTGAGGCAGTCAAGATGTCATGTTTAAGAGCAATGTGTACTGTGAATATTATGCAAAGAATTTGATGTAGAAATTAGAAGACAGTGGGGTTACAAAAGGCAATATTCAGAGGGTAGAGAAGGGGACTGAGGTGGTTTAGACATTTAGAGAGGATGGAGCAAAGCAAGATGATCAAAGTGTATAAATATAGGCTGGAAAGAAGGGGTAATGGTGATCCAAGGAAGGCTGGATGGTGGGTGTTAAAGAGGTTTTAAGTGTCAAAGGTTTGAGAATTTAGTTGGCTTGTGTAAGCAAGTTAGATCAGGATGAATAGTTACAAGAGTTTTAGAGAACTGACATATTGGAGTGTGAGCAAGGTAACAATTATTAAGGCATTGAAGGAAATCGGCTAGTCAGACTGATCAGTCCTGGAGGTGGGAAGTACAATGCCTGCACTCTCAACCTGTACATTTTACAGTTCTAAGGTCACTAAGGAATTTTAATGTTGGCACACTTCTGGCAAGAGAACTATTGAATGAATAACTGTAAACATTTTATTTAGTTTGGGTCACCCTGCTTATTTTTGTGGGAGATGGTCGATGTGGTGCTGAATGTAAATCATTCATTAAAAATCAATCAATCCGTGCCTGTCTCTCCATATACTGTCTCCAGATCCCAGGCTGTCCTCTTAACTACAGACATCATGCCAGTTATAAAAACAGTCAGGCGGACGAGTGATGACTCAGGCTGTGCACACTAGCTTTTTACTTTGACAGCTGAACAAGTTACAAAGCTAATGAACTATTTATAAACAAGTAAACAGTTCATTACCTTTGTAACTTGTTCAGCTATCAAAACTTTGCGGTCCAGTCCCTGGACCCATTATGTACCTCTGTAATGTTGATGTACAGTCCCTGGACCCATTATGTACCTCTGTAATCTTTTGACTACCACCCACAGGATGGGCATGGGGTGACTACCACCCACAGGATGGGTGTGTGGTGACTACCACCCACAGGATGGGTGTGTGGTGACTACCACCCACAGGATGGGTGTGTGGTGCCTACCACCCACAGGATGGGTGTGTGGTGACTACCACCCACAGGATGGGTGTGTGGTGACTACCACCCACAGGATGGGTGTGTGGTGACTACCACCCACAGGATGGGTATGGTGTGCATAATAATGATATTAAACTAACTGGCTTTTTCTTTTGTTTGCATCGCACATTTTTTTATTGCCTTTTTTCTAATACTGTATTTATATTTTTTCCATTATGGTATGTTATACTGTGTTATTTTTATGGATTGAGAACATAACCTAACTTAGAAATGTGCAGCCAACTGCATGTGAAGTATCTACTTCAATGTCCAGGGGACAAGTTGGAGTCCCAGAAGCCAAACTTAATAAGCTTTTTTCTTAATCTATGAAATATAATGTAGTAACCTATCAGCCAACTTAGTGAATCTAATAATATAAGAGAGGAAGCTCCAGTTTAATGAATCTAACAATAGAAGGTCCAGCTTAATGAATTTGATAATAGAAAGTCTAGGAGGAAGCTAAGTGGAGAGCTTAAGAGAGCAGTTGGCTCTCACTCACTTATTAAGGCTATGCTCTTCTCAGCAGTGCCAATAGCACTGGTGGCACGACACTTGTAAGTGCCTATATCCTCAGAGGAGACTTGAGTCACCGCCATGGTGGAGACAACTCCTTCGTCACCCTCCAGGGGCACCGTCTTTATCCTGCAGCAGGGAAGGAGGAGAAGTAGCAGGTGAGTTAAGATGAGTGTCACAGTAACCTGTTATGTTAAACCTGACAGACTTGATAGAGATCACTACAAATATTGTACGCTATGCTTAAAAAGTTCTGATATAAATCATTAAATTTTTATTTAGAAGCTTGTTTCAATATTTACATAATTTTAATTATTATGCTTTATTATTGTGTATTATTATTACTATTATGAGTGTATTATTATCATTATTATTATTAGTGTAGGAGGAAGAAGACATGCACGAGGTGTATGAGTGAGGTGAGGAGACTCACTTGTAATTAGCACTACCCAGGATAGGTAAGTCATCCTTGAGCCAGGCAATGTCTGCAGCAGGAATGGCCACCACTTTACACTCCATCATCACCTCCTCTGTCATAGACGCAAAAACCTGAGTGTCAAGAAGACATTAATGGAAATATAAGGAAGGAACATGGTACAAAGCTGTAATAATTACAGGCGTTCAAAGCGCTCTTTATATTGTTAACTATTAAATATAGCAGTTATACAAAATATACAAATATTTCAATAAAATTCTCAATAATTGCTGATGTTTTGGCAAAAAGTGCTTGAGGAGAGTGGTTATACCTGGTCCTTGGTGACTACTACCTCAGGTGGGACCTGAACCTCCAGTATGACATGAGAGTTGGCTGGGTCACCAATACCATTGTTAGCATAGCAGACATAGTGTCCCTTGTGGCTACGATCAACCAGGGGGATGTCCAGCTGGTTAGCTCTGTTGGTACACCACAACAATATCCTATAATACACTGCTGTCTTACATTGGACATGTTCACTACACATAATGTACTACACTGTTGTGACATACTCAACATGTTCACTACACATAAATTGTGACGTAATATAATGGTCAAGAGACACACACACACACATACACACACAGGAGCTCGGACTCGACCCCCGCAACCTCAACTAGGTGAGTACATATGTGAATGACATAACGGAAGGGATAGACTCAGAAGTGTCCTTGTTTGCGGATGATGTGAAGTTAATGAGAAGAATCAAATCGGATGAGGATCAGGCAGGACTACAAAGAGACCTGGACAGGCTACAAGCCTGGTCCAGCAACTGGCTCCTTGAGTTTAACCCTGCCAAATGCAAAGTCATGAAGATTGGGGAAGGGCAAAGAAGACCGCAGACACAATATAGTTTAGATGGCCAAAGTTTGCAAACCTCACTCAAGGAAAAAGATCTGGGGGTGAGTATAACACCGAGCATATCTCCTGAGGCGCACATCAATAAGATAACTGCTGCAGCATATGGGCGCCTGGCAAACCTATGGATAGCGTTCCGATACCTCAGTAAGGAGTCGTTTAAGACTCTGTATACCATTTACGTCAGGCCCATACTGGAGTATGCAGCACCAGTTTGGAATCCACACCTAGTCAAGCACGTCAAGAAATTAGAGAAAGTGCAAAGGTTTGCAACAAGACTAGTCCCAGAGCTACGGGGATTGTCCTACGAAGAAAGGTTGAGAGAAATCGGCCTGATGACACTGGAGGCCAGGAGGGTCAGGGGAGACATGATAACGACATATAAAATACTGCGCGGAATAGACGAGGTGGACAAAGACGGGATGTTCCAGAGATGGGACACAGACACAAGAGGTCACAATTGGAAGTTGAAGACTCAGATGAATCAAAGGGACGTTAGGAAGTATTTCTTCAGTCATAGAGTAGTCAAGCCGTGGAATAGCCTAGAAAGTGAAGTAGTGGAGGCGGGAACCATACATAGTTTTAAGGCGAGGTATGACAAAGCTCATGGAGCAGGGAGAGAGAGGACCTAGTAGCAATCAGTGAAGAGGCGGGGCCAGGAGCTATGAATCGACCCCTGCAACCACAAATAGGTGAGTACAAATAGGTGAGTACGTACGCACACACACACACACACGTATATTTAAAATTTATATATTGTTTAAAAAAGCTCAGGTTCAACTTTGGTGAATGTAAGTGTATGGACAGTGACTGGTGAGTGTATGAGCAGTGACTGGTGAGTGTATGAGCAGTGACTGGTGAGTGTATGAGCAGTGACTGGTGAGTGTATGAGCAGTGACTGGTGAGTGTATGAGCAGTGACTGGTGAGTGTATGAGCAGTGACTGTGTGAGTGTATGAGCAGTGACTGGTGAGTGTATGGACAGTGACTGGTGAGTGTATGAGCAGTGACTGGTGAGTGTATGAGCAGTGACTGGTGAGTGTATGAGCAGTGACTGGTGAGTGTATGAGCAGTGACTGGTGAGTGTATGAGCAGTGACTGGTGAGTGTATGGACAGTGACTGGTGAGTGTATGAGCAGTGACTGGTGAGTGTATGAGCAGTGACTGTGAGTGTATGAGCAGTGACTGGTGAGTGTATGAGCAGTGACTGGTGAGTGTATGAGCAGTGACTGGTGAGTGTATGAGCAGTGATTGGTGAGTGTATGGACAGTGACTGGTGAGTGTATGAGCAGTGACTGGTGAGTGTATGAGCAGTGACTGGTGAGTGTATGAGCAGTGACTGGTGAGTGTATGAGCAGTGACTGGTGAGTGTATGAGCAGTGACTGGTGAGTGTATGAGCAGTGACTGGTGAGTGTATGAGCAGTGACTGGTGAGTGTATGAGCAGTGACTGGTGAGTGTATGAGCAGTGACTGGTGAGTGTATGGACAGTGACTGGTGAGTGTATGAGCATGACTGGTGAGTGTATGAGCAGTGACTGGTGAGTGTATGAGCAGTGACTGGTGAGTGTATGAGCAGTCACTGGTGAGTGTATGAGCAGTGACTGGTGAGTGTATGGACAGTGACTGGTGAGTGTATGAGCAGTGACTGGTGAGTGTATGAGCAGTGACTGGTGAGTGTATGAGCAGTGACTGGTGAGTGTAAAGGACAGTGACTGGTGAGTGTATGGACAGTGACTGGTGAGTGTATGAGCAGTGACTGGTGAGTGTATGAGCAGTGACTGGTGAGTGTATGGACAGTGACTGGTGAGTGTATGAGCAGTGACTGGTGAGTGTATGAGCAGTGACTGGTGAGTGTATGAGCAGTGACTGGTGAGTGTATGAGCAGTGACTGGTGAGTGTATGAGCAGTGACTGGTGAGTGTATGAGCAGTGACTGGTGAGTGTATGAGCAGTGACTGGTGAGTGTATGAGCAGTGACTGGTGAGTGTATGAGCAGTGACTGGTGAGTGTATGAGCAGTGACTGGTGAGTGTATGAGCAGTGACTGGTGAGTGTATGAGCAGTGACTGGTGAGTGCATGAGCAGTGACTGGTGAGTGTATGAGCAGTGACTGGTGAGTGTATGAGCAGTGACTGGTGAGTGTAAGTGTATGAGCAGTGACTGGTGAATGTAAGTGTATGGACAGTGACTGGAGAGTGTATGAGCAGTGACTGGTGAGTGTAAGTGTATGGACAGTGACTGGAGAGTGTATGAACAGTGACTGGTGAGTGTAAGTGTATGAGCAGTGACTGGTGAATGTAAGTGTATGGACAGTGACTGGTGAGTGTATGAGCAGTGACTGGTGAGTGTATGAACAGTGACTGGTGAGTGTATGAGCAGTGACTGGTGAGTGTATGAGCAGTGACTGGTGAGTGTAAGTGTATGAGCAGTGACTGGTGAGTGTAAGTGTATGGACAGTGACTGGAGAGTGTATGAGCAGTGACTGGTGAAAGTGTATGGACAGTGACTGGAGAGTGTATGAGCAGTGACTGGTGAGTGTAAGTGTATGGACAGTGACTGGAGAGTGTATGAGCAGTGACTGGTGAGTGTAAGTGTATGAGCAGTGACTGGTGAATGTAAGTGTATGAGCAGTGACTGGTAAGTGCAAGTGTATGAGCAGTGACTGGTGAGTGTAAGTGTATGAGCAGTGACTGGTGAGTATAAGTGTATGAGCAGTAACTGGTGAGTGTAAGTGTATGGACAGTGACTGGAGAGTGTATGAGCAGTGACTGGTGAGTGTAAGTGTATGGACAATGACTGGTGAGTGTAAGTGTATGGACTGACTGGTGAGTGTAAGTGTATGGACAGTGACTGGTGAGTGTAAGTGTATGGACAGTGACTGGTGAGTGTAAGTGTATGGACAGTGGCTGGTAAGTGTATGGACTGTGACTGGTGAGTGTATGGACAGTGACTGTTGAGTGTATGGACAGTGACTGGTGAGTGTAAGTGTATGGACTGTGACTGGTGAGTGTATGGACAGTGACTGTTGAGTGTATGGACAGTGACTGGTGAGTGTAAGTGTATGGACAGTGACTGGTGAGTGTAAGTATATGGACAGTGAGTGGTAAGTGTATGGACAGTGACTAGTGAGTGTAAGTGTATGGACAGTGACTGGTGAGTGTAAGTGTATGGACAGTGAGTGGTGAGTGTATGGACAGTGAGTGGTACGTGTATGGACAGTGACTAGTGAGTGTAAGTGTATGGACAGTGACTAGTGAAAGTGTATGGACAGTGACTGGTGAGTGTAAGTTTATGGACAGTGACTGGTGAGTGTAAGTTTATGGACAGTGACTGGTGAGTATAAGTGTATGGTCAGTGACTGGTGAGTATAAGCGTATGGTCAGTGACTGGTGAGTATAAGTGTATGGTCAGTGACTGGTGAGTGTAAGTTTATGGACAGTGACTGGTGAGTGTAAGTTTATGGACAGTGACTGGTGAGTGTAAGTGTATGGACAGTGACTGGTGAGTATAAGTTTATGGACAGTGACTGGTGAGTATAAGTGTATGGACAGTGACTGGTGAGTGTAAGTTTATGGACAGTGACTGGTGAGTGTAAGTGTATGGACAGTGACTGGTGAGTATAAGTTTATGGACAGTGACTGGTGAGTATAAGTGTATGGACAGTGACTGGTGAGTGTAAGTTTATGGACAGTGACTGGTGAGTGTAAGTGTATGGACAGTGACTGGTGAGTGTAAGTTTATGGACAGTGACTGGTGAGTGTAAGTGTATGGACAGTGACTGGTGAGTGTAAGTGTATGGACAGTGACTGGTGAGTGTAAGTTTATGGACAGTGACTGGTGAGTATAAGTTTATGGACAGTGACTGGTGAGTATAAGTATTAATTAATGACTCACTTGAAGAACTTGCCACCATAGTAAGGCAGCTCCTGGTTGAGTCTCTCCCAGTAGACTTCGGGCTTGGGCGAGCCTCCAGGCTGACAGTCTATGCTGATAGCGTCACCTTCAGTCACCTGTAACACCCCACAATTTACCCACCACTATCTTAATCACCATCATCACACTAATTTTCATTATCAGCTCTTCTTATAGTCATTATCACCTCTTGTTGCTATTATTAGCTCTTATTATCGCCATAAGATTTTTGTTGGGATTTTTAACCCCGGAGGGTTAGCTAGCCAAGAAAGTCAATGTGTCATCGAGGACTGTGTCTTATTTCTATTGTTGTCCTGAATCTTGTCCCCCAGGATGCGACCCACACCAGTAGACTAACACCCAGGTACCTACTTGCTTGCTAGGTGAACAGGACAACAGGTGTACGGAAACATGCCCAATGCTTCCACCCGTATACCTGGACGAGTCCTCGTGCGTATGAGAGAAGACTTACTAATGTTTGAGATACACTTAAATATTATCTGAAGCTAGTCGTAAGTTTGCCTGAGATACTCCAATATACGAGTCTCAATATAAAGTGTGTATTAGGCAAATTGTTACCTTCTTTAATATTCTACGCTACCTCAATATTGTACGTAAATACATTTAATCGTTTGTAATTTGTAATATAATATAAGAATTTTTATTAGTCTGCCCGGCTTGCTAGGCATGCTGGGTTTGCTAGGCATGCTGGGCTTGCTAGGCATGCTGGGCTTGCTAGGCTTGCTGGGCTTGCTAGGCTTGCTAGGCATGCTGGGTTTGCTAGGCATGCTGGGTTTGCTAGGCATGCTGGGTTTGCTAGGCTTGCTAGGCATGCTGGGTTTGCTAGGCTTGCTAGGCATGCTGGGTTCGCTAGGCATGCTGGGCTTGCTAGGCATGCTAGTGGCCTTTGTAATTGTTATTATATAATATTTAAACGAGCCATTGTAATGTTTACAGATAAATCAACATTTCAATCCAGCCAGCAACTGTTGTTATTATTACACCTTTGTGAATGTTAATGATCTGACAACAAGGAGGAGAAGGAGGTACAAGAGGAAGAGGAGGGAGGAGGAAGAGGAGGGAGGAGGGGAAGGAGGGAGGAGGGGAAGGAGGTACAAGAGGAAGAGGAGGGAGGAGGAAGAGGAGGGAGGAGGGGAAGGAGGGAGGAGGGGAAGGAGGTACAAGAGGAAGAGGAGGGAGGAGGGGAAGGAGGGAGGAGGGGAAGGAGGTACAAGAGGAAGAGGAGGGACTGGGAAGAATAATTGAGCAGAGGGAGAGAGAGGAAATATACGCTTGAATTTATATTATTAATAACTGCTAAATGGTTTGAATATAACCATTGTTAACATGGTATATCTGATGCTATCATTTACAAAAGTAAGTTGAGAGGAAGGAATATACCTGCAGGGGGTTTCGGGGGTCAACGACCCCCCCCCTCCGCGGCCAGGTCCATGACCCGGCCTGGTGGTGGATCAGGGCCTGATCAACCAGGCTGTTACTGCTGGCTCGGTTGGTCGGGAACTGACTATAGGTTAATTAGGTTTGTTGTAATGAAATTTAAGACATAATCTGCGTATCCACACATGAAAGAATTCTTATTAATAACACGAGAAGTATCTTTGGAAAGAATTGGAAAAATACATCAGTCTGCCATGATCAGTCGTAACTGAGATAAATATCTGTCAGGTGAGAAACTAAGTATCTTGTGTTGAGAGATCTTGTGTTGAGAGATCTTGTGTTGAGAGATCTTGTGTTGATAGATCTTGTGTTGAGAGATCTTGTGTTGAGAGATCTTGTGTTGAGAGATCTTGTGTTGAGAGATCTTGTGTTGAGAGATCTTGTGTTGATAGATCTTGTGTTGAGAGATCTTGTGTTGAGAGATCTTGTGTTGAGAGATCTTGTGTTGAGAGATCTTGTGTTGAGAGATCTTGTGTTGAGAGATCTTGTGTTGAGAGATCTTGTGTTGAGAGATCTTGTGTTGAGAGATCTTGTGTTGATAGATCTTGTGTTGATAGATCTTGTGTTGAGAGATCTTGTGTTGAGAGATCTTGTGTTGAGAGATCTTGTGTTGAGAGATCTTGTGTTGAGAGATCTTGTGTTGAGAGATCTTGTGTTGAGAGATCTTGTGTTGATAGATCTTGTGTTGATAGATCTTGTGTTGAGAGATCTTGTGTTGAGAGATCTTGTGTTGAGAGATCTTGTGTTGAGAGATCTTGTGTTGAGAGATCTTGTGTTGAGAGATCTTGTGTTGATAGATCTTGTGTTGAGAGATCTTGTGTTGAGAGATCTTGTGTTGAGAGATCTTGTGTTGAGAGATCTTGTGTTGAGAGATCTTGTGTTGAGAGATCTTGTGTTGAGAGATCTTGTGTTGAGAGATCTTGTGTTGAGAGATCTTGTGTTGAGAGATCTTGTGTTGATAGATCTTGTGTTGAGAGATCTTGTGTTGATAGATCTTGTGTTGATAGATCTTGTGTTGAGAGATCTTGTGTTGATAGATCTTGTGTTGAGAGATCTTGTGTTGATAGATCTTGTGTTGAGAGATCTTGTGTTGAGAGATCTTGTGTTGAGAGATCTTGTGTTGAGAGATCTTGTGTTGAGAGATCTTGTGTTGAGAGATCTTGTGTTGAGAGATCTTGTGTTGATAGATCTTGTGTTGAGAGATCTTGTGTTGAGAGATCTTGTGTTGAGAGATCTTGTGTTGAGAGATCTTGTGTTGAGAGATCTTGTGTTGATAGATCTTGTGTTGAGAGATCTTGTGTTGAGAGATCTTGTGTTGATAGATCTTGTGTTGATAGATCTTGTGTTGAGAGATCTTGTGTTGAGAGATCTTGTGTTGAGAGATCTTGTGTTGAGAGATCTTGTGTTGAGAGATCTTGTGTTGAGAGATCTTGTGTTGAGAGATCTTGTGTTGAGAGATCTTGTGTTGATAGATCTTGTGTTGAGAGATCTTGTGTTGATAGATCTTGTGTTGATAGATCTTGTGTTGATAGATCTTGTGTTGAGAGATCTTGTGTTGAGAGATCTTGTGTTGATAGATCTTGTGTTGAGAGATCTTGTGTTGATAGATCTTGTGTTGAGAGATCTTGTGTTGAGAGATCTTGTGTTGATAGATCTTGTGTTGATAGATCTTGTGTTGAGAGATCTTGTGTTGAGAGATCTTGTGTTGAGAGATCTTGTGTTGATAGATCTTGTGTTGAGAGATCTTGTGTTGAGAGATCTTGTGTTGATAGATCTTGTGTTGAGAGATCTTGTGTTGATAGATCTTGTGTTGATAGATCTTGTGTTGAGAGATCTTGTGTTGATAGATCTTGTGTTGATAGATCTTGTGTTGATAGATCTTGTGTTGAGAGATCTTGTGTTGAGAGATCTTGTGTTGATAGATCTTGTGTTGAGAGATCTTGTGTTGAGAGATCTTGTGTTGAGAGATCTTGTGTTGAGAGATCGTGTGTTGAGAGATCTTGTGTTGAGAGATCTTGTGTTGAGAGATCTTGTGTTGAGAGATCTTGTGTTGAGAGATCTTGTGTTGAGAGATCTTGTGTTGAGAGATCTTGTGTTGAGAGATCTTGTGTTGAGAGATCTTGTGTTGAGGGATCTTGTGTTGAGAGATCTTGTGTTGAGAGGTTGGTTTATATCAGTTGCCACTGCACCAGAGAGAGAGGTTGAACGGGTTAGAGAGAGGGGGAGGTTGAACGGGGTAGAGAGAGGGGGAGGTTTGAACGGGTTAGAGAGAGGGGGAGGTTGAACGGGGTAGAGAGAGGGGGAGGTTGAACGGGGTAGAGAGAGGGGGAGGTTGAACGGGTTAGAGAGAGGGGGAGGTTGAACGGGTTAGAGAGAGGGGAGGTTGAACGGGGTAGAGAGAGAGGTTGAACGGGGTAGAGAAAGAGAGAGAGAGAGAGAGAGAGGTAAAGAGAGAGAGCATCACTTACAGTGAGAGTTTTGGTGAAGTCATCAGTGAAGTAAGGAGCTTTCTGGATGGTGACAGGGACGTCAGCGTTGATCTTCTGATCCTCACCAAAGTTGACAGTACAGCGGTAGAGGCCAGAATCTTCTTCACTCATCTTCTTAATCTGTCGTAAGAAAGGCTCACAAGTATTTTTCTATTTTAAAGCACTCTTATCACATGACGGGGCCAGGAGCTGTGAATGAACCCCTGCAACCACATATACTCTCACTCACACTCACCTTGATGTGTGCCAGCTACACTCACTCTCACACACTTGTGTGCGCATATACACACTCACTCAGTCGAGTTCTGGACCCGGGACGGACTCTGGCAGTGACAAACTGCCACAACTCAGGGATGAACTCTGCACTACTTACAATGAGAGAGTACTGCTGTGAGTCGGCTGGATGATCAACTCTGAACTTGCTGGAGAAGAGGAGGACTCTGTCGTTGTTGGAGATGGGGTAAGAATTGGCTGGCTTCTCTTCGTTGATCTGTAGGTTGAGTGATTGTTAGTGACTGATGGCGATGCTGGATGCTTGCGAACTGGTGACAGTCATTGTATTAGGTAGTTATGGTGGTTGCAGTTTATTGGCAAGGGTCAATGTTTATAATTTACAGCACAGTGACAGCAAAAGGTCATTCAGTGTTTTATACCATACCAAACTCCATACACACACGTGTGTGTGTGTGTGTGTGTGTGTGTGTGTGTGTGTGTGTGTGTGTGTGTGTGTGTGTGTGTGTGTCCCTGTACCTCAATATTACAGAGGTATATAATAGGTCCAGGAACTGGGCCACAAAGTTTTAAAATAACTGAACAAGTTACAGTGGTAATGAACAGGTTACAGTGGTAATGAACAAGTTACATATATCTGGTCACAATCGTAGTAAGTTATTTATACAGTCATGAATTAAGTCACAAAAATATTACAGTATATCTTACATGTAGTTCTGAATTAATATTACTGTTTATTTTAACAAGATGAGCTGGAATTTAAATAAGTCTAAGTTGTTACGAGTTAATAACAATAAGCAAAGTCTGGTAAGTGATAATTGCTCTTGTCCGATATTTCCGAATCCGTTAAACCAACGAATTTTGTCCCCCTGTTTCTTTATCCGTTTAACAGAAGGATTGCTAGAACTTCTGTAACAATATAATAATAATAATAATAATAATAATCTTTATTTCTACAAGTACATGATACAACTTATACAGACCATAGCTGACATCAGTGACATGCTACATAAAACGTTATGTAAAACGTTTCGGGCAAATTAGGTTTTTTCTCCAGGATGCGATCCACACCAGTCGACTTACACTCAGGTACCTATTTACTGCTAGGTGAACAGTGACAGCAGGTGTCTTAAGGAAACAAGCTACAACTACCATTTCTACTGCTGCTGGTACTCTGAGCACATTTTAAGATCATAAGAATTGAGGAGCACTGCAGCAGGTCTACTGGCCCATACAAGGCAGGTCCTTGTCAAAAATAACCATTCCCACCTACCCACATGTCTCATCTTTCCCCAGAGCTACCTCTCACCTTGCTCCATGATACACTGAAGTCCTGGACGCCTGTCAGATCAACGCCTTCAACAGCACAGTCGATCTTGACCTCATCTCCCTCCTTAGCGATGGTTTCCTTGCTATAAGTGATCTTGGGGTTGGGGGTCGCAGCTTCCCTCTTGGTAGGGCTGCCAGCACATGATGTTACACCTGCGTTCACAACAAAGGTCACCTGAATTAGTGATGTTGGGGTTAGTTATGTATTGTAGCGTGGTAGTACAGACTGTGTGGTGGTGGGGAGTTAGTGGATATAGTGGCGATACGTTAAGGGTAGTAGCAGTGGCAGGTCAACCCTACTCTTCAAGGTGGGCACTTGTGGACCTTAAAAGACGCCCCTTTTTTTTCTAGGCAGCAAACCTCGCTTATGACGCACCGTCGCTGCCTGTTGCTGATCCTTAGCTACTTGAATCAACACCACGGTGTGCAGTACCAACCATATAGTTAACACAAACAATATCTTTCTTTTTATCTTTCAACTCTGGCCAAGCAACGCCATGCGGTTGGGTCTAGCACCGGCTCTTCCCCTCACCATTCAAGTAATTCCTCCCACTCACTCCTCTTCCACTCTTCCCTCTCACCCTCGTGGGTCTTAATTGAGAGTATCCTATTTATTTATAACGAATAAGGCACAATACCGTGACTGGAACGATACACAAATAACCCGCATATAGAAGAGAGGAGCTTACGACGACGTTTCGGTCCGACTTGGACCATTTACCAAGACTTTGTAAATGGTCCAAGTCGGACCGAAACGTCGTCGTAAGTTCCTCTCTTCTATGTGCGGGATATTTGTATATCCTATCTATTTATCTATCTAGGTTGGCATTTGTCACCGGTGGAGGACTGTCGATGTGAGAAACTGAAGCTGATTCAATTCCTGTTTCCTCAGATCAAACTTGAATACCTCCCCACCTTTCCTGGAGACGCTGACAAGTAAAATAATCCAGTAACGAAACTTACAACCCATGACTCAGACTGCAACTAATGACTGAATTACCCTGACTACATTGTAATTATGATTTTGTGTAACGTAACAGCTAGCGAATCATGATGACAGCAACTTCGTAATGACCCATTAGTAATAAACTATTAAAGATATCAACAAATTGGTAATGCTAGCAGGATTTGGATAATGGTCATAACTCTTACATTCAGATCACTAAATAATCGATTGAACATTAAAATGGTATAAAATACCGACAGATTGTTAGGTAAGACACATATGCAACAGTTGCATATGTGTCTTACCTAACAACCTGTCGGTATTTTATACCATTTTAATGTTCAATCTGTCAGACACTGCAACACAAGGGTATCTTGGTACAGACCTGCAATCAACTTCGACAACTTCCACTAGTGAGAGGGGCTGGATTTGAGAGGGACCTGACATCTCAACATCTGAGTTCTTACCTCTCCTAGTGGCCTACGTCTCACCTCTTGGCGCTATAAAAAGCTCCATCCTGTCACTTCTTCTCCATATTGTTTCATACTATGGAACAATGCTCTTCTCCAGACTGAGGGACTGACCACCTCAAAACTTTAAGGGTGATGGACTGATTACATCGTCTTCAAGTATCTTCTGCTTCTATCAACTTTTCTGTACTTGACTGAAGAAGCCTACTATGTGTCTTACGTAACACTAAATAATCGATCACTGTCTCCGAGCTCATGTGATCTCTTCCATTATTCAAAAAAATATGTTATAAATTACTTAATACTTTATTTTGTTAATGTGATATGTCAGGATTTAGCTAGCTCTTCCAAGTGTAATTATTGCAGTTGGTGATATTCCATCACATTATGATGGTGTAGCAATGTAACTAGAAAGATTTAATGATTGTAACAAAGTAATTATACGACTAACCATTCAAGATGTACATGTACAACATTTTAATATTCAATTATAATGACAAACATTGAACACTTACGCCAGAACTCAGGACCAAAGATATGAGAACTTTAAGCCCACTTCAAAAACTAAGTGGACAGTAAGTCCTTACCTGGTTCCGAGTAGCTTTGGGGTTTCTGCGTATATAATACTAGTGTTTAAATGGTATTCAAACCTGTTTAATATTAAACTGGCTTCAGGGATCTCCTTACTCCATATGGGTGTGTGCAAGTACCTTAAAAAATTATCGTTTAGTGCATCACAACAAATATCATGTAGGTCTGGTATACGACTAAAAGAAACGCCAAGCAAGTCCAGTCTGGCAACTCAGTGTCACGCGATCGAGAACATCAAGTAACATTAAGTAACGTGGAAACAGCTGCGAGGGTGATAAAAACATGCAGGGTTGCTAGAAATTTGTGTAGTGAAGATGGGAGGGTGTAGGATAATAACCAAGGTAATGGTCCAGCTGACGGCCGAACAACCACATGTTGTTTGTGGTCCGTGATGTTCTGCATGGGATGGTTGACGGAGGGTTAGTGTCCTCATGCAAAAGTGGCAGTAGATGTTAAACAATAACAACCACTCTGGGAAAGGAAGCTAAACGACAACAGTCACAAGGAAGGCTGAAGACAACAATAGCCACCAGGGAAAATGGACGACCACCATGACCACCACTAGACCACAGTTCACAGAGCGGTGATCCTGGAGATGCTATAGTAATAGTGGTACTGGAGATGTTGCAGCAGTAATGGTGGTCAAACCACAACACGGGTGGGGACTGAACACGCGACTAATGAGTTTTAAAACTCCAGACCAACGGGTTGGCCACTTGGCCACGCTGGCGGGAGATTCGTCTGTAAAAACTTGCAATTGTGGTCGCAGTGGTGCCTATGCTAACCTTCCTATGGTGTATAAATATACCTAGTTGGAAGAATCATATTGTAGCCATCTGGCCCAGTAGCTAATACGTCGGTCTGGAGTTTTACGACTCACTAACCGCGAGTTCAATCCCCACCCGTACCATGGTTTGTTTACAATCGTGTCATCACGATTTCATGAATCGTAATAGTGGTACTGGAGATGTTGCACCAGTAATGATGGTACTGGACAACAACTGCCCACTTCAAAGAGCACTGAACTCACAAGAACACTGAACTCACAAGAACACTGAACTCACAAGAACACTGAACTCACAAGAACACTAAGAACATAACCATCAACACATCACCAAACATAAACACAGATCCTCCCGTCAAATAGTTGCCTTGATTCTGACGATCTCTTGATTCACAGGCACTGCAATTACCTTCTTCCTCGGATCAAACCTGATTACCTCCTCCCAACATGCTTCATTACCCCAGGGGATTAGCACTTCCCCATAGACAATAAGAGAGAGTGAATGCATCAGTGTCAATTAGACATGCTATAACAATCAGGAATGTGATGAATGGTTTGAAAAACCGACAAGTTGAAGATTGAGACACTTATACAGCATATGGGAATCTTTATTCAGGAAACGTTTCGCCACACAGTGGCTTCATCAGTCCAATACAAAGAGGAAGGCGTAAGGAGAGGAGGAGTATGAGGTAATCAGCCCCTCAGCCTGGAGTCGATGTGTTCAGTCCATCAATCAGTCCATCAATTGATGGACTGAACACATCGACTCCAGGCTGAGGGACTGATTACCTCATACTCCTCCTCTCCTTACGCCTTCCTCTTTGTATTGGACTGATGAAGCCACTGTGTGGCGAAACGTTTCCTGAATAAAGATTCCCATATGCTGCATAAGTGTCTCAATCTTCAACAATCAGGAATGGAGAGGCAGTTACAGTACGTGATATTTGCTCAACATTCAGTAACTAGAGCTGCTGAATGACTAATGGTGAATATTGCCTCTTATGAAACACCATACCTTGCTGGGAGACGACCATTGAGCTAACCTAAGAAGGTTAATATCTACTTTACGCTCGTATCTCGTTTATTAAATAAATTCTGCGGTATTAAGTGCGTTATGTAGTTGAGGTTTGTATATTTGGAGTCTATGATAAAAACTCCTTTATATATATATAACCTGAGTTTTTTCCCTGTGAGAGGGATAATGTAGTTGTTATTTATAATGTAAAAGATTAATTGATTCATGAGGTGAGGCCATTATGGCCATGTTGCCCAGATATGTGGCATCACATGAAGGGGAGACTAACAAGAGCCAGATGCTCGTCAGGGTAATCAGTCCCTGAGGTGAGGGACGGGACGCTAAGGGGATTAAACCTCCCAAAGGAAAACATTTTTTTTTAACTATTTTCACTGTATTATAGTAACCAGTGACCACAAAAAGTGACAGGATAAAAAAAATCACATATACTAAAACTCTTATGATATTAAAGACGATTTCTTTAATTTTTTTTTTCATTTTGAAGCCTTTCTAAGAACTGAAATCCTTCCAGAGACTTTCCCACAGAATGAAATCTTGGCTTCAGTACTGAGGGACGTACACACCTTGTATATACACTCACAACATCTTCATACACCGGATATATGTACACATACTTCACTGTACGCAGTTGACAACGCAAGTGACAACGGTACCGTTATTTCACCTGTTAAGTGTCAGTATATAATGAACAGTTAAGGGTGCCAGTGTGTTCTGTTTGGAGTAACACAACAGAAAGAGGGTTACTCACTCTGCTCATAAGAACATAAGAAAGAAGGAACACTGCAGCAGGCCTACTGGCCCATGCGAGGCAGGTTCAAGTCTTCTACCGGCTTAAGCCAATGCCCCAACCTAGTCAGGGCAGGTCACATTCACTTAAGGAAGGAACACGACAACTGACCTAGTAGCACAAGCTAGTCAGGTCCAACTCATACCCACCCACACCCACTCATGTATTTATCTAACCTATTTTTAAAACTACACAACGTTTTAGCCTCTATAACTGCACTCGGGAGTTTGTTCCACTCATCCACAACTCTATTACCAAACCAGTGCTTTCCTATATCCTCCCTGAATCTGAATTTTTCCAACTTAAAACCATTGCTACGAGTCCTCTCTAGGCTAGATATTTTCAGCACGTTATTTACATCCCCTTTATTTATTCCTGTCTTCCATTTATACACCTCAATCATATCCCCCCTAATTCTACGCCTTTCTAGAGAGTGCAGATTCAGGGCCTCAGTCTATCCTCATAGGTAAGATTTCTGATACATGGGATCAACTTTGTCATCCTCCTTTGTATGTTTTCCAGAGCATTTATATCCATTC